GAGGGAACAGCGGAAGATCCAACCACTTGTACGGGATGGGAAAACAATCACCACTGTCTGAACCAACTTGACGTGAGGAGCCCGAAGGATCAGACAGCAGCATTTGTGAAGAAAGGTGCAACACAGAGACTTTAGATGTCGGACCGTATATGTAAAGGAGGACAGAGGGTTAGAGAGTTGTACCTCAGCCGTGTTGACGCGGTACGGGAGCAGGGGCTGTCGGCTGGCTGGGTTCGTAGTGGGGGTCCAGGGCTCTGCTGCTCTCTGCAGTTCATCAGGGTCTGGTTCAGGGCGAAACGAACCAAGGGCCTGAGGCACAACGAACACAACACATGGCCCAAAAGTAAATGCTACTGTTAGTTTCTCAAATAAAGAAGGCTTTTCTTCAGACTTAAAGAACAAGTTTTCGGTTCATAGTCATATCGACATTATAACAGCAACAATACACCTTTCACTACAGCTTCAATGTCTGTATCTGTAGAATGTCACAGACAAGAAAATAAATATAATTTTCTTGTAAGTGAACACCTCCTGTATCTGTTCAGATTAAAAACTAAAAAGCTAATTTTAAAACAAGAAAAAAACAACTGTTTTATTCTCTCTCTCTTTGTTATAATTACAGTGTTTTAAGTGTGTTGCTCACAAGTGTAAAGCCCTTGTGTCCTCATACGTTTAAACCAATTTAATTGTTAAAACTAAACCTGACCTGATAAACAATAGGAAACAGAAATCAGCAATCAAATGCAAAGCATGGATGTGAGCCATACATGCTGTGGAAGAATGCCATAGTAAGCACAGCCAGCTGTTACAGCCTGGGGCAGTGAATTAAATCAACTGACCGTCAAGCTGCTGAGGTTGGTCCAGGACAACCCACTACACACAGAGGAAGGGACGTCACAGTGCTTCAAATGAATGTTCATTTCCAAAACAGATTTTTAGGACCACTGTACGCAGTGACTGGAATGTGGGTTTTGAAAGTGGTCAGGATATAAACAACTCACACAACTACTTCTGTCAGTTTCCACAGCACCATGAATTTCTTCAAAGATTCAGACTACAAAGACACAGACAGTTGTTGGAGAGAGATCGGGGAGGCAGTGGGATACAGCTCGAAGGAGGCTATGTACGTGTAGAGATTCAGAACAGGTAGAGGTCTTACTTTAGATGTGTCGGACCACACAAAACAGTTTGTTTGAAACATGGTAAGACCTTAACCCTGCTGTTATTCACCTTAATCTCCAGTAGGATGTTGTAGTCAGTGTTTAATAGCTGATATATATATGTGTGTGTGTGTGTGTGTGTGTGTCTGTGTGTGTGTGTTACCTGCAGGTCCAGCAGAATCCAGTCTGTGTGTGTTGCCTGGTTGTCTGTTCTGTTTCTGATGAACTGGAACAACTTCAGGAAAACACACGGGTCTAAAGAAAACAAAATCAAACAGTTGAGTTAATATTTAAAATATTAAAACATTACCTTAAAAAAATAAAAGTCATTTCAGAGGTGTTAGAGTCACTGCAGTAACAGTGCTGTGGCAGAAGGCGGCGCCTCACCGTGCTGAGAGCAGAGCTGCTGAGCCAGCATCTGGTGGTCGGACATGGACGTAAGGACAGACACACACTCTGAAACTGTCTGCAACCTGCTGTCTGCTGACAAACACACACACACCACCTGCAACACACACTGCAACCTGAGAGAGAGAGAGAGACATTTGTCATTAGTTTGGACCGATTAAGATATTTCAGGCAGATAATGATCGTGGTATGCAAATGAAAACTAATGATGACAAACAAGGACATTGATGACAAATTTGCAGATATTCATTTTGGTGAAATTTGCATTATGAAAAGCCATAACATTTCTCTTTGCTCTGTGATAGCAGAAAACAACCACTTGATAACCAGGGGCAGATGTAGAGGGGAGGCAGTAATGCTGTCAAAATGAACACATATAATTTAATGATCT